TGGAAATTGTTTATACCTTTTTTTTAACATTTGAAAATTAATGTTTTTTTTCTGTAAATTAGAAATGGAACTTTCAGGCCACCACAAGAAACAAGGAAAGGACTTCAACCTCAGGAAAAATGAAGAAATGCAATTATTTACGAAAAAATGAATTACCTATTGTAAGATAACTGTACAAAATGTATTTTACAAAAAGTTAGAATATGCCAGTATTGTTTTACAGCATTTTACAGTCTACATATCCATTTCGCTCTTACACACCACATCCATTTCGTTTTGCGAAACACTTATTCTTTAAATAATATTCCATTACAAAATTAAATAAACTAAGTCCAGATATCATTAGAAAGGCGTAATAAAGGAAAATGTCCTATATCTTATATGTAATTTCATATTTACATTTAGTTCTAAATTTAACCACTACCAATGTTGTAATCTTGTTCTATGTTGAATCCGTAACATTGGAAGCGGCAAGAAAATGGTAAGGGGGCTCTAGAGCTTCCGTGTCGTGGATGAAAAAATTCATTGGGTGATAGGTCTATTCTATACCTTGTCTGCGGTGAAACCTTCAATTTCATTTGGGAGTATTTAAGGTCAATTATGTAAGCGTAAGCATTTAAAAAGTTTTATTTTTTGTACTTCCAATTACAACAATGGTAAATGAAAGAAACATTGCGCAGCACATTCCGTTTTAAACTCAAATTCAAACCATTATGAGATTCTTGTCGATTACCACCTCCTTTTAATAAAAGAATTTAAATGACATCATTTAACAGTAATTAGCATACTACATCGTACGACTAAATATTATAATCTGTTACCGAAAATTTTCGTTAAAAACGTCAGATCAGTTCCAATGATATTCGTACAAGGCGCCCCTATACATATTGTGCGCTCTTTAAAGGTCATCTTTATCTCCCGAGAAAAAAAAGCGTTCCCATAACGCTGCATTTACAGTCAGCGATATGAAATTCCAATCGCGCGTATGTATATATAAATACGCAGACATCTTCGTTTTCGTTTTTAATGCTCGTTACGGGGAGGAGAAAGTAAGAATCAGGAACTACCGACAGACACAGGTAACAGGTATAATGTAAATTAACCCACGCGACCTCGTGTGATTGGCGAAATGTCAGGGCTGCGATTCAGTCTGAGTACTCCTTTTACGAGATATCGATTTTTCTCATCCCGTTCGCTTGATTGCAGACGCGCGATATCCCCACTAGTGTATCGTTCTCCTTACACGCGTGTTTACACGTTCGCCTTGCATAAATCATCCGCTCGAGTACATCATATTAATTTGCCCGGCCGATAAATATAGTTACCGGCTGATGGTCTTCTTCCAGCATGTTCCTTTTCAACCTCCCTGATAAAAGGGTAATAATTTTACATGATATCGAACGCGATACAGAATTAAATTGATCGCTGGTTTGTGACTGAATTAATCACTATCGAATTAACTGTTCTCCCATGAGTTGCCTCGTATAGATAAGTAACAATGCGAAAGTTTCAAAATATTGTAAAAAATTTTCATACAAAATATCGATCGTTAATGGTATTATCTCATCTTGGTCACTTAGTCAGATTAGCCAAGAATCTCCAGAGGCATTAAACGCTTTACGTTTGAATATTACGTCAGAGGCCGCGACTTTCTACATCCTCTTCACGTGTACTGTTATAAAAATTTCCTCGACATTTAATCACGTGAAAGGAATCTTACGACTCCTCTCTTGGTAAACCCATGCCGACACATAGATCGTGCTCTCTCCAAATCGAAAGGATAAAAAAGAAAAGGAAAGAGGAGGAAGGAATTCCGTTCGGTCGCGTCGTATTAATCGCGATGAAATATTACGCCATTTCGAACGGTGACGGCGGGAGATACCTATTCAGTATAGTGGTTGCAAAAATGGTATTTGCTTCCGTGGCAATTGGAGCTGGCTTCCCATGTCCACGGTTTCAATATATTAGAGTCGGAGAGATGCAAATGAATCGTTTAAATTTCACAATTTTACGAGCGTTAATTATTTGCGAATTTTAAGCCGAGAATCTTTCGTAGGCGCTAGATGTACGCGCGTGTAATTTCAATTTTATAGAGAAAACATTGATACTTAAATGAGAAAAGATTGATGATAGAGGAGGAGTTTTATAGTTTGAAAATGTGGAGAAAAAGCAACGAGTATGTGTCATCTTTTTTCACGGTTGATTTTATGTGCTACACCGGGGATCGTTTACTTTCTCAGCGGCGTTCTACCGTGACACGATGGGCACACGTGTCCTTTTCCTGTTTTCCCTATCCTTTTCCTGGGACATTACCCCGCGATTAGACGGGACAGAACGTTACGTGGAATTACGCAAGCTCGTTTCCATGAGTTTCAGAGCGTATTGCCGGCGTAATCGTCGTAAGCCCGTTACTTTGATGAGATTGAACTTCCTTCGACGACGGTGTGCTCTGTTCAAAAAAAAAATAAAAATACTGTCGTTTCTGTGTAGCCCGATCGATGACGGTTAATAAGTTCATAGAGAGGTATAACTGTACCGTTTAATTTATATGTTTCATCGGGAAGGAGGCGTTGATACTGTGGTATTAGAGATGCGATTTTATTACATTTTTATTAGTGTGGTAAATAGGTCGCATAATGTAACGGTACGAAAATAATGGTATTCGCCCCAAGAAGCTGTTGTTTAGCTGGAAACTGCACTACGTTCGATTCTGACATTGTTTGCGAAAATACTGAATTAAAAACGTATCGAAGTACTCCAGTACTTAAGCATTCGAGATCGCAAGCATTTGAGATAACTCAAGAACTCGAGATCTCAATAACTCAATGACTCGATAATTCAAGGACTCAATAACTCAATGACTCGATAACTCAAGGACTTCATAACTCAAGGACTCAATAACTGAATAATTCAACGACTCGATAACTCAATGTCTCAATGACTCAATAACTCGAGGACTCAAGAACTTAAATATTCGAGTGCCCAAATACCCGAGCACTGGAGTATCGAAATCTTTAAGTTCTAAAGCATTGAAATCGACAGAACGAAAAGTGCAGAAGTCAGTAGAAAAATTCCCTCTACCACCACTTAACGAGGTAACCGTACAAACATCAGGCCACTGTCTTGTATCGCCTAAGTGAATTGTCTCGTCGTTTCCGCGCCGACGAGCAAAACTTGGAAACTGTTTTCCAGCGGATCTCCACCCTTTTTGTTTTCCTTTTCTTCGTTAGTCGTGTCGACGTCAGTCCCGTTGGACTTTGCTTGGAAAACGTGTTTCACATTCCATTGAACCGGAGAGAACACGCATACCATTCGTCAGGATCTTGTTTCACCTAATCATTCACCAAGGTGCAAACTATCCTTGGCTTAGAAATCGTTCAGAGTTCAGAGTTCAATTTACGCTTATCCTTAACCATCAACTTTACACATCTTTTTTCATTATTTTGAAAACAATTACTGTAATGGGATAAATATTATCATTATATTTGATGTATTTTTATAGATCCAGCGAAGCTGTTCAAGTTATACGAAGGAGAATTCTCCGCTTTCCCCATGCGTCGTATGCTTTAATACTCACCACGACCAATCGGTTAAAGTCTCATTATTGATGGACTCTTATTCAACAAACATGGTAGGGTGAGCTGTTCTAATATGGAATACTTTTTTTCACGCACATATTTTACTTATTTACAATGCTTTTATATAAACTTAAATATTATGATTTTGTAGGAAATTTTATGCTATTCTGACTGGTAATAGACAAACTGAAAATATAATAACGGTTTAGACAGTATTTATTATTTTTACCGAGGTCCTCATTTCCCATATTTGGCTGATGGTGCTCCTAATATGAGATACTTTATTCGCCTAATATGGAATAGCATATTAGAAGATGGGAAGCAGGATATAAATAAGTAAGTAACGCGTCTGATAATTATCTTTACTTAAAAAAAAATAAAATTTGTTATTTTTTATACAACATTACAAAGAATTCTTTACAATTGCTTCAATCGAAAGATTTGAGTTCGCTTTTTAATTGTTTAACAAAACGGAACAAAGTTCCTCGACAAGTAGAGCCTTGAAAAATCCAATTTTTTTATCTACAACCGCTTGTATTACTCTACGCATATCTTCTTTTTTCTATTTCTTTCTAACTTGCACGATAAACGACAGCTAAAGAACAGAAAACACGTCTCACTTAGTCGTAATGGAATTAGACGTACGTGGTCTCTAATATGAAATATTCCATATTGGGCTCGTCGAGGTATTTCCATACTAGGAAAATCATTGTTGTTTAAGTTTTCAGAAATATTGTATTAACAAGATAGAAATTAATAATATCCATGCTGGTTACACAAACCCGACCATATTTGAAAGATAATCACGTAGAAATAAAGTTAACGTACTTATCTTGTTACGTATAATACCAGTCTAAAAATTCCTATGCAAAAACTCGGATTGTTATAATCTCTGCTAACTGGGTGAAATAAATGACAAACGCAACCGATTGTATTTACTGCCAATAGATGATAATGCCAGGATTCTTTAATATCGTGATATTTTATATTGGGCATGTATACCTATTCCATATTAGGACAACTTACCCTAGAAAGTATTACCATTCCAATAGGTCAATAATCCTCTCCACTGTTTATACTGCAGACGTTACACTATCATATCTCCGCGGCATGAATTATTTATACCGACATTCCACATCTTCTGCTTTTCATCTCACGCTCAATCATCTTAACCCTATCAAATCCCCTTCAATTAGTACAATCAACTCAGTTAAGTCTTCTGCATGACACAGTAGGAAAAGCTGTCGTCGTTCTTTTTTAACCATTACTTGTCAACAAATCCTACGCATACCCTTTCACATATTTTCTAAACGAAATCTTCATTTTCCAAGCTCCTTTTTACCACTCTCTGCAATTTAACCCTTTCGTTACCAGTGGGACCTATTCGCAAAAATTGACACCAATTTCAGAAATTCAATTTCAACAAGTTATTTAAAAAAAAATAATTTGCTCACAAAAGGGTTATCTTTGTTCGAAGGTATCGTGAAAAAATCGAAGAAACTTTGTTTCGTGAAGCTGCAACCGCAATTCCTCCGGGTCCCCGCGTACTCTCCAACGATACTTAGCGCATCTGGTTAGCATTCGCCGCGGCGCGGCGGAGGTGCACTCACGGCTCGCCGCGACTCGCCTTTGTCGATGTTCTCCTATATCGGGTGACCCGAATAAATAATACGTTCGAATGGGCCGATGATCTAGCTCTAATTTCTCTTCCCATCGTTTTCATCATAGCGCGATCGGTTACGCTTGATCTCACGCGCAAGTCGATACTCGCGGATTGTGTAACTCATGCATCGTGGGTAAACAGTGCATGATTCTCATTTTAATTGTCATCACTCTGTACATGAGACACTTCATCATCTGTGACTTCAAATTAGAAGACGAAAAAGAAACAACGTTAATTAATTACGTTGATAATTAAGCTTCAAGTTATTCGTAAGTCTACTTGCTACAAATTATTGAAATGTTTTCCTCTTTTACGATTTACAGGTAAAAAGAGAGGGACATAGATGATTAAAGTTCTGAGTTTATTCGAAGTCTATTAAACGATTGAATGCCTGTTTTTTTTTTTTTTCTCACTTTTCGTCGATTTACGGTTTGGTTAACGTGCGACACGTCCTTGCGAATCGTCTCACATATTAACTGACCTGAATAAATAATAAAGATAAACAGCGAGACTTAGTTTTAAGCCTCGCCTTTCATTTATATTCGCCGGTCGGTTCTAAACCGCGCGTGCCGGGTTAATGCGATTCGCCGCCATTACGGATGTCATCCTCGTACGTTTTATGAACTGAATAAACTTATCGAATAACCAACGAGAAAAGAGAGAAACAAGAGAAACATTAAACGGTACAAAATTATTAAAAAGAGGAACTGTGGAATTTTTATAGATGTAATGTATATAATTTTAGAAGACTCTTTGGGCAAAGCGGCAACACGACAGATCGCGCGCGTCGATCTTCGAAACGCACGCCTTTACGGTTTCAAATTATAGCCCGACGCGTTCTCTGATAGCAAACCGCAGCATAGTTCCATATACGCGTAGTGTGGAGCGTACAAAACGAAATATATCACGTATCGGCAATGATACACCCCGCGGTGTGCACGGGTGAAAATAAAATAGCACACTTATCCAACCAGTGGGGATTCGAGCTATGCGCCAGCTCAAATGGCAGCGAAAGTCCCAACTTGTGGGCACACACCGCGGCAAAATTGAGGATGAGATCAGAACAGCCGCCAGCTGTTCGCTATTACACCTTAAATCTAACGTGAACCGTATTGTAAATTAGTATGCAGATGTGTAGAGGAAGTTACTGTGCGAGGATAACTTTGCTGCCAATTTTTCTTTATATTTAATATTTAAGTAAATTTTAGGTATTCAATTGGAAGATTTTCATGGAACAGGTGGCAAGTATGTTAGGAAATTTTGGATATTCAATTGGAAGATGATAATCAGATAGGTGTTTAATGTTTAAGTAAATTATAGACATTCCATTGGAAGATTTTAATTGGATAAGTACCTAATATTTAAATAAATTTTACATATTCAATTGGAGGATTTTCATTGAGTAGGTAGCTAATAGATATGTAAGAAAATTTTGGATATTCAATTGGAAAATATTAATTGGATTAATACCTAATATTTGTGTAAATTTTAAATATTCAATTGGAAGATGTTAATTGCATGCCTAATATTTAAGTTACATATAAGGTAAAAAATTTTTTTATTATTCTTCCTTATAATTTTCTTGTTCTTCCTTTTTCTGAGACAGTAGCTATTTTATAAATAAAAGAGTAGCAGTTTATAAAATCCCAAAGGACCACACTTTTTCCACCTCTGTCAGAGTTAGGCTCTCAGAAAACCCTATATTCTCTGTTTTACAAGCTCGGCCATTTTTATGGGCTAAACTTTCGGCGGTCCAGCGAGTCCTCAACGTCTTTACGATCACTCTCCAGTGTCCTCAGTTAACCCTGAACTTGTAGGGTAAGTAACGAATTTCAACTAATTATACATCCTCTTGATTATTGAAATTCGCTATTCAACGACGAAAGAATTAATAATCCATGAATTATGTAACAGGTTTTTGTCACTATTGTTTAGAAGGAACAATCAGATAGTGGACAAAACGGAAAACTTTCTAGCCAAGAGGCTGGCACGTGCGCGCAACGGGAACAGTGGTGTTGAGAGATAGAGTCGTTAGCTATCGATGAAACCAACATCGACCCTGAACGAAATGATCGTGTGACGCGGAGGAATATGAATTCGTCCTTCGTCACCGTGTAAGAAATTGTAAAAGCAGCGATGGAGCTTTCTATAAATACGCATTTTTACGGTGCACGTGTAATGTTTATGGCATTTATGAATTATGAATGACGCTACGCCGCAAGACGACCGGATGAAATTGCTTTCGCGCTAGACAAACCCCATAACAACCGTCGGATTATCGTCTTTCATCGAATTCCTCGTAATCACTTCTCTGGGTGAAATTTATCTTATCTCTGAATAGAGATAAAACTAAAATTTATTTTTTAATAAAAATTACAAATAGCATTTTTAAGATAGAATTGTGAGAATTGGTAGATTTTAATGTAACAAGATGCAGTTTCTCAAGTCTGGATCATTTATCAATATATTAATCAGATTACTAGGTTGGATGATATCATTAATGGAAGAACGCTCACGCGCGTCCACCTTTGCAGAATCTTCCTCGACTCTCGATTAATAAGACCACACAGGCCGCGATGGTTAATTGCATCGAGCGCACGCCTCGGTTTACGCATTCTCCTCCGCACGCGAGCGAGGAATTCTTCGAAACCGCGATTTTGTAATTCGATGATTCTCCTATGTTGCAGAAAATCTCATTTCTTATTCACGGTAATAAAAGAAAGACATGTAACATGCCTATCTCATTCAGCCAGTAATTTTCTCTCATATATATATATATACAGTAGTTGAAGAATAATTTATTCAAACAATAATACAACTGACTCTCTCATTTTCATTTTATGTCAAATTTATAGTAGCAGTCGTTTGGTAGAAATATTTTATAAACAAATAATTCATTTCACATTCCAATCTTCTTTTTTTTATATTTATCATCGAGATAATAAAAAGTTCATTGGACGTTTGCAAGGTCCGCGGACCTCGTTACTTAAGAAACACAAGATTTTCAATATCATCGTTCATTAAGGCGAATTGCACGAGAGCAGCAACGCGAGCTTAAACGTTTTCCCATTTTAGGTGGCCGAGGAACGAGCTCGACACGGGTAAAATTACCCTGGAAGCACGATCGGACGAATCTTTTGATCTCGAGGATCGTTCGTTAATCGGTACACCCTATAGAGGCACCTGGCATCGGGTTAAGCGAGTCGAGGAGTATCTATATAAGCGCGTAGGTGGAGGGGGCACGGTCCCCGTTGGAGGCCTCGTCCGCAGAAAATCGTATTGGGGGATCGCTTCAAGTCGGACAAGGAGAGAACGATATACCAAGCTTATTGGAGCGACAAGGAAGGAGATAGTGAGACGGAGATGGCGCTAGTTGTGTCCAGAGGAGGAATCGTTCGCCATGGGCCTGTTGCTTGTGCATTAGCGGTAGTGATGGGACCGACTTGATGCTTATCTATCGATTTCGAAACCATTCTGATTTGACCTGTATATACATGTATGTATAAGTTGGGAGAAAATTGATATTGGAGAAGGAGGATTTAATTTCTTTTGGAAACTTTTCCTTACTGGTTGTCCTTCAATTATAATAGAATTATTATATATTTGCATTGTAATTGACATAACTGACACTTTCACAGTGTATTCAAAAATTAGGACTCTTTGGTGATCAAAATTAGTGGTAATGGAATACGATTTCCAGATGTGTTGTTGTTCATTTCATAGATAGCGTGTCCAAAAAGTACCTGCGCACATTCTTCTACTTTAGTGATTCTTTTTCTTCCTTATATCACATCTTTTACGTAGATTCAGATCAAGCCAGTTTAGAATAGAA